CTAAAACCACTACAACCTACACTTTGAAAATATTCAGAGTAGTATTTACACATCTTTATGAAGATCGACACAACCTCTGTCACAAAGCCAGTCAGCATCAGAATAATGCTGTTCATAACAGCAACTGTAGAATTTTATGAATTTTCGAATCCTATGTTACCTTATAAGTAGCTGATAATGATTTTAAATTCTGCAGCCTTCATGCTTCAACCTTAACATCAGTGTCCTAAACCGATTTTTACCTTCTAATAACGCGAACTTTTGTAATTCCCACGCCAAAATTGACAGGCAATAGATATATTATGGCTTAAATTTTTGATTTAGCCCCGTTATCTGATAACTAATTCGATTCTAAGCGAATTTTGAAAACTGCTTATCTAGTTATTTGTACTTTTTTTAAAATATTTTCGTCATTTAAACCAATAGTCAATCTTAATTTGTATTAAGAATTCATATTTCTTATCAATTAGGAGTAGTGTACGCATATTCATGCCTGTAAAAATGGTTTGCTTCTATTCAAGAAATAAAATTATTACTATTATTAATATTATTGTAGATAGACAATTAAACTCATACAAGAAATCGGCAAATATCATCTTGTCGGACTCTGAATATTCTCTTTATACATTAGTCTCGCATTACATCTTGTCAGATGGGGCTAGAAGCGATAAATAAAAGACTTTACGCTCCAGTGCTTCAGTAGGAAAACAACTCTACAATATCTTGTTTGGCATACACTTTATGTGGTGAGAAAAGCATTACGTGTGAAACTACTGACTTACTGTGAAACAGTAGTATGTAAATGACAATTCTTTAATCTTTCCACATTCATAAATTGATTGACACTATTGTCAATGTAAGCGCCCTGGTAATTATTAACCCCCCCACCCTACTCTGGTACTATGTAAATGCAAGGAGGAAATTATCTGCAATATTGTATTATATGCTGAAAAAATTCATATTGAGTCAAATGCACTATTTGGAGTAAAGCCATTATTATTATTATTATGTCAGCTAACATTGTTTGACAGGAAAAGCGATGACTTGACATGCGTGAGATGTGTTCTATCTACCTCTATCGGTGCAACTTCACAAAGACATCAATCGACTACCCTTCCTAATCTTATACTTTACACCTTACCCAAACATTACCGAGTATATTGTACCACTTAACACAGGAGATGGAATACAAACACTTATTAATCAACAACAGCTAGTCTTTTTGATCGTATCCTCCACTTTCACAACAGGCATTTCTCTTCTACTCCTCTGACTTCTGAGTGAAAAAGAGGACTTCAAAACGGAGCTTTGAAGTTTCAGTAGTAGTGGTGTGGTGAGAGCTGGCTGATAGCCAAAGTTGGCAGACAGTAATTGACGTCAATGTTTATGGCCCCAATATTGGTGGTGAGAAAATGAGAACAAAGGCTTTGCGTGGGCGGACACAGTTAACATATGGATGATCTGACACAGCCACAAAGAGATGCATGGTTAACTTTCTGTGAGAAACAACCAATCAAAAGACTGTATTTTTTACTAACAATAATCTACAATAATGTACATTAAAACCTATAAATATATGTTGATTTTCCTTAATAAACGATCTGTTGCCTGGCCCTTGTCTTCTGTTGTTACAGTGGTATTTATTTTTACAGGGTGGGGTTACTAGCCTCACACCCAACCTTCCCTCTTTATCAGGCTTCTAACCAGCTAGGAGAGGTAAAAGGAGTGCGTCGGCCGCAGATCGAAACCTCGACCACACATACAAGGTTGACGAGTATCCTACCGCTGAGCCACCGACCCAGACAACAGACGCATATCTCACAGTTTTCATAGAAAACAAAATAACAGACACCCCACCCCTGACAATGAATGAAGAAAAACACACTTTTTTGATATTTGTCATTATTAACATTATTTCTCTCCTTTATTCCCTCATAACTGTATTATATTATTATATTACTAACAATGGTAATAATAACAATAGTAATAATAAGTAGTAATAATATGTAGCAGCAATAGTAACAACTATTATTGTAACAAACTGAACAGACAGAAGAAGAAAATGAATAAGAAAAAAACAAGGACAAGAGCAGTAGTGAATATGTATGTGCACAGGGTCAAACTAATAAATTTCAAAACAGAAAAAACAAAAAAGCTAAAGAAAACAAAAATAAAAACTTCATTCACTGTTGAAAGATACTGACAATTCTTCTTCTTCTTCTTATGATTATTATCAGTCTGTGTCATCTGTTTATCTGCCTATCTATCTGCCCGTCTATCTATCTATCACTCACTGTACATACAACCATACACTTTAATCTGTACGTGCGTGTGCGCGAGCGTGCGTATGCCTGTGCGTACGTGAGTGCATGTATAATCGATAAGGAGTAAGTAAACACTATTATTTATACTAACTAGTATTACACTAACAGTAGTAATTACTGATATTGTGTTGTAGGGTGTCGTCCACCCAATTTTAATAATAATAATTTTTTTTTACAATCAAAATGATATCATGATAATAATGTTAAGAAGAAGAAACAAAAACAAACAAAGAACCAAATTAACAAGAACTTTTTTCACAGTTTTTGTTTTCTACAATATTTATAACAACACATTGAAACTTGTTTCTACAATATGATCAGTCATTTAAGAGTACCATTAAGAGTATCTGTATATATTGGTTTTTATCGTCCATTGAAGACTTGTGTGCGCACGCTCACCCGCTTGCTTGCTTGCTCGCTCGCATGGACAAAAAGACACGTAGCAACTTGTATACAGTACACGTTATGGAATACTACTACCTACTATTTCTTCTACTTTACAGTGCAAATTGGTTGAATAAGTAGAAGAAGTAAAAAGAAGAGAGAAAAATCAAACCAACAAACAAGTGAAACGATGGAAAAAGGAAGTTTACAAATGTGATATAAAAAAAGCCGAGAAAAATAAATAAATAAACAAAAACACAAATCACATTAATCGATAATGACGTGATAACACACACACACACACACACACGAACAGTAACCCCATGATCTATTTATCTATTGTACAAACCGGAAAAGAGAAATACACCCGAATACATATACACACAAACACACACAAATAAGGACGTACGTTCGCTCACACACACGCACTCACACACAGATATATGTACAGGGGATAGATACATAAGTAGAAATATTTTGAAAGAGAGAAGTAAAAATACAAAGGGTATAAGGGAAGAAGACAGAATGATGACGGCAACAATAATAATAATAACAACCTCATCATCATCTCCGGGCGCCAATTTATCACCCGATAACAATAATAATCACGAGAAAGAGAGAGAGAGAGGATAAAGAAGAAGTGGTGATGACATAAAGAACAGTCCTTAAAGAAAGAATATCATCATTTTTACTGTATTCTATACTGAGTATTGGTGAGTGGTAGTAGTAGTAGTAGTATAGGGTTCACTAACATTATTTGTACAATTTAGAGGGATGTAGAAAGGGGGAAGGAAGGGAAGGGGAAATCGACGGTAACCGGCATGATCATTATCGTCAACGTCGTGGTAGAGATAGTAATGAACAGTGCAACTGCTGCTGCTGCTACTACTACTATAGAAAAAAGAACAAAATGACCATAACAATAGTTAAAAATGGTGTGATAAAAAATAGTAATAATGTTGTCAATCACTACTACGCCATAATGATATATTACTTCCAAGATTCATAATAATAGTAACAATAACAATAATAATAATAGTAATCAGTGCTATTATGATTCCTAAGGTGAATATACAAAGGTGAACAAACAAACAAACAAAACAATCCGATTCATCAAAGACAGTTTTTGTTGCTGTCCTTGAAGAAATAACCAGTAACAAACAACAAAACGTGAAATAACTGAGTCTAACACAAACTAACGAGAAAAAATTAATAAGAAATGTTAAGTAGGGAATGGTACATTTAAATATAGTTATGAAGGCATATAGTACACAAATATACATATCATCACTCTCTTCCTCCGTCTACTACTCTTCCTCACGAACCGCCTCACTCTCCTTCTATCTCGATGTTCATTCTGTGTATCCACTTGTCTGTCTATCTTACCACCACAGTCTGTCCATTTACCATCACTGATGCATGAGGACCACAAAAACGAAAGTATGGAAATAATAAAAGTATAGAAGAGAAAGGATTTTTAAAGGTTTAACAAAGACAAGTGACTCTTCATTCAAGCCAGTTAGTTACACGAGAGAGAGAGAAGTTTCCTCACTCACTCACTCATACACACACACACACACATGAATACCAAAGATGAGTACAAACAGGAAAAGAGAAAATAAGATGTAAAGACAAAAAAGGAGTGTACATCACGATTTAGAATAACCCCCTACCTCCTTTACATCTCTCCCGTCATTTGCTTTCCACTTCTTTTTTTTCCTTCAAAAAGTGTGAAATCATCGTGACAAAAGCAAGAAGAAGAAATAATAGAGGCCAATTGTTGTAATTAATAACAGAATCATTTATTATCAGTATTTTCTCTACAGTACTGTGTAATCCCTGATATAAACACAACGAAACAATGGCTGATAACAGAATTATAGAAAGGAGAGAGAGAGGAAAACAAACTGAACAAGTGTGTGTATGTGTACGAACGTACGTACGTACAGATATGCCATATAGTATCATATGCAGCATTATCAGTCAACTGTATAAATTCAATGCTTAAATACAAAAGTGATGAAGGAAACTCTAACACACACACACACACACTGGAATATGAAAATATTTCGAATTAAAAGGCAGTAAAGAAAATGGCATGATGAAAATAATAATAGTACCGCTTCCCTATCCAACCACTCCCACCACCAAAACACACACACATATCCTAGTTCCGCTAGTAATAATAATAACGGCAACAACAACAACAACAACAATAACTGAAAAGACAACTGAACTGAAGTTGTATTCGGAGGAAGTAATTAGAAAAAAAAACATAACTCATAGAATCAATTACCATGGATTTATAGGAACTAAATGAGACGCAGTATTTGTGGTGTTTGATGATCGAGAATTTTTATCATTTGAAGGAAAAGATTCATTCATAGTTGTATTACTGTTAGAAAGAGAAGTAGACCCGGTGTTGTGTTGAGGATGTAGTGATGGTTGTGGTTGTGGTGGTGGCGGCTGCGGTAGTCTGTTTAAAAGTGTATCAGGTAGACGGAAACCATTCAGGAAATTAGCTGTTGCGTTGTTTATCACATCTGAATGACCTGGAAATGGATGAGAAGGCGGAGGAGCACCATGAACTGGCAGTTGTTGTTGCTGATGATGATGTTGTTGATGTGTATGAGATTGATGATGTTGGTGAGGAGGATATGGATGACGATCTTGATGGTGATGAGGAGGAGCAGGAGGAGGATGGTGAGATAATACACCAGGCACAGGAGGATTTGATGGCCTTGGAAATGGAGGCATACGCATTGGAGGAGGAAAAGGTTGTATACCTGGATGATTAGTAGTATCCATGCCAAAAGAATCAGTTCGTCTACGTTTTATTTCGGGATTTAAAAGGCCTGTTGGTAAATTAAAGTTTACAGGAGCAGAAACTCCTCCTACTCCTACTCCTGAAGGCGGTAACGACGGTCGAACACCACTGGTAGAGGAAGAAGATGAAGACGTAGAAGGTGAAGTACGAAGTAGATTGGATGATTGAGTCATTAAAGGGAAACTGTAATTTCCAATACTTGACCCAATTGTAACCGGTGAACAAGTCGCTAAAGACGATGATAATGATGGTGTTACTGTTGAAGTGCTGAAAGGTAATTTTGAAGTGGAATTAGAAGACGAAGAAGATGGACCGCCTAGTGCTGAAGTGAACTGGGACATATGAGAAAAGAAATTCTGTAACATTGCCATTTGTGTATCCTTACAATCTGGCAAATTGTTAACAAATTCTTTAGATAAACTATTCATGAATTCATTAAATAAATGTCGCCAAAATAATGATGCATCTGGAGGAATACTGTTGTCGTTATTGTTTGCCGATCGAGGAGGCTGGGAAACTGGAGCGGGAATAAGCGGAGGTGGCATATTGACTGATCGATTAGTTCCAGATTCACTATGCTGTTGTAATCTAGTTGGATTACACTGCACGGCCTGTCCACTTATTGACGATGATACAGAGGAATGTACACTAGGATTTAGACGTCTAGCTATTGGACGAATTGGTAATCGACACGTTGGAAACATTGATGGCATCGATGAGGACGGCTGTGGTCTCTGCATAGATTCACAATATTGAATGAACAAAGCGACACGTATGTGTGCATCAGCCCATCGACCATATGGCTAAAAACGAGACAGAAAATCACACGTATTACGCATCATTGGTGAAATAATTGAAGTATTTAAAAAGAAACTCAACAAAAACTACATACATACACACACAGTCAAAACTATATACTCAAAAATGTAACATACTATATATCACAACAATGGAAATTCTGAGGGCATCAAGATTATGTGATACACAGAAATACAATATCTTCATATATATAGATATATATGCATCGGTCCCCTTGATAAATTTCAATGATTCCGAATGAGATTTCATCACAAACTGATATCACCTAGATAACCACTGAAGACCAAGAATTACTAAACAACTGCTTCGTCCCATCTTGTAGCACTTCAGCAGCGCACTACCAGAAATTGAACCCAGGAGCTTCAGGCTGAGGCAAGTACGTTTCTGATTAAAAGTAATAGTGACAATGATGGAGAATTACACCATCATATTCATCAGTAGTATGTGCCATCAAAGGAAGAGGAATATTCGAATGTGACACACGTCTTCTTTTTCTTTATTTTTTTGTGTTCCGAGTGGAGCCTGAGCTTTGAAGTTTCAGTAGCTATATAGTGTTGTTCCTACTGGGTCGGCCTATGAATCAGCCTCTCCGTTCATCCGTCCCTCTTTCCCGATTTTACTACCAGTTAAGTAAGGTCTAAGAGTGCGTTAGTCAAGGGTCGAACTCGGATCACATACATGGCTGGAGAACATTCTATTATTGAACTATTGAACACAGTAATATAACATGTAAAATAAATTAATTATTACCTTATCTCCACGAACTGGTCGATGAAGTATACCAGTATGACTGATTTTATCCACTGTCCGATTGGGTTGATTACCTCCTCCTCCACGTGTAGGGAAATACATTGACTGTAATAAAGGGGATTGAAACTGTTGACTGGATGATGATGATGGTAACGATGACGGTGATAACACAGATGCTGATGATGACGACGTCATATTTGTTGAATTCGTTGAAGAAGAATTCATCTTGGAACCAGGAAATAAAAATGATTCGGCATTGAAAAATTGTTTTAAAAATTCAGGAGGTATATGTGATGATGGAAATGGTGGCATCATTGGAAGTGGTAAATTGGATCGATGAGCAGATGATTCAGGTGGCTGTAGTGGTGGTGGTGGTAAATGTTCAGATTTATGTACTCCAATCAAATTACGATCATCCTGTGAAAGAGATGGCAATGAGATGTTGTATGGATCACCATTGGGCTAGAAAAAAAGTAATTAATGTAGATGTTATTCTATATTTATTTCAACACAGACTTGGAACACTATAGATACTGAGAGATGCACGACATGCAAAAATAATAAATAAAAATATACCGAAAGGAAGTACAGTGATCAAAGAACAAGCGAGTAAACTTATCAAGATTATTTAAGGAGCATTCATTACTTCAGGTTACTTCCAGCAAGAGACAGGAAAGTAGGAAATTGAAGTATGGTCTCCACTGGTTTCAGTTCTTAGCTATATCTAAAATAACGTCTTAACCAACTTATTCGGAATATCCCGCACAGATTTCACACAGGGGGTCGTAGTGGAGCGACACATGCAAACGCAATACACTTATCTTTCACACTATGACCACCTCTACTCACCGACGCAACGGGTTGACTACCCTTCCTGCTTTTTACACCCAGTTTTAGAGCTGGCGGACAATGACCTGTGTAGAAGCCACTGTGATGACATTTGTAGTATGTGTTCAAGTGACTGAAGTACTTATTGAAAGATGACCCCAACCATGCCCAATACAGAAAATACAAAGATAAGAATACTTGAAGACTTTCTCCAACTGATTGACTTTAAAATATTAAGAAGTATTCTTTCTGTATAAAGAATATAAGTATAAAGTATAACTGAATGTCCCGTTGACGCGCACAAGACGATTCCTTTGAAGAGACACACACAAACTGCCGCATGTGTATGTAGTGACGTGGCTAACTCTCTTGAGCACACGACCCTCAGCAAATCGACCACAACCTCCATAAACAACCTAGCACAACCAAGGGTGGATAAACTCCGATCCTCCTCCCCAAATGCTCTCATGTGGCCACGCGTTCATAGCCCATTTCTGCCAGATAAATCCTATTCACTGCCTTCATGCGATGGGCGCGGGTGTTCCTCACAAAAGCGAAAGCACGAATGTGAACTTCTGGTACTTACAACCGAACTGGTGGAACGCAGGTCTACCTAAGGAGCTGGGAAATTCTGATTACAAATCTATGGTGTACATGGGATCTAGAACAGATTGGATGGCGTATAAATCTGCCTTTGTCACCGGGAAACATAGGAATGTAACTTCTGATGATGCTCCCACTGACTTGTGGGTTAGACATCAAGTCAGAGGCTACGGTTGTGGCCCCTTAAGACAACCACCTGCTGCAATCACAACATCCGGACAGTATCTCAATCCTCGTGCTTACCATGAGATTATGTGTGGTGCATTTCTTGGCACCCAAGTTTGTGTTTTAACAACAATAATAAAAAATAACAAAATTATCGGTCCCAGGTTCGAATCCTAACTCCACTCACTTCAACCTCGTCAACTGGGCGGTATCATCAACCTTTACATGATAATTTTGGCTTATAAGCTGATGCACAGATGCAAAATGTGCTGCAGCTAGCTAGCTCATTTCAGACAAATACACATGCAGTAAATTGATAAGCCAAGAGGCCATACGCCCACAAACCCTAACTTGTGCAAACTTGTCATTCACATTGTTAGAGAAAAAGAACACGTATAGTCAACTTAGACAAACTTACAAGTTTTAAAGGGTGTGAACTGAAATTTCTATCAGTCATCATCGATTCTGAGGATGAACGTGTAGATGATAAAAGCATCGGAGAATTTGTAGTAGAAGAACAAGAAGAAGAAGAAGAAGGTGGATGTTGATGTTGATGAGGAGGAGGATGATTATGATGATGGAAGTTAACTGGATTCGATTTAGAATTGTACACTGATTCTATTGATCCAGTAGAATGAGCCATCGAAGTGAAATTGGATATCCGTTGTGTTGGATGTACTGATGAATTACTACTATTATTATTAGACATACTGTAATTGTGTACACTAGTGTTGTTGTTGTTGTTATTATGTCTACTTGACGGTAGACTTGTACATGCTGATGATGATGAAGATTTACTTTTACCCGATGTTGAATTACTATTAGTATTATTGTTATGCGAAGAAAGGAATTCACGATCAGCATATGCAGCAGCCAATACAGCCGCCTGAGATCGAGCAGTTTGTGGATTTCCAGGTGAGAATCTTTCAGAATCTGTATGCACATAAATAGTAGGAATACAATATTTTTAAAAAAGTTTATTGAATAAATAAACAAACAGTTCTATAACAGTGCTAAAGAGAAAATAACAACAATAAAGATGATAATAATAATAATACCCATATAACAGAAACCAATTATGCTTATAAAGTTACTGGACCAATTCGTTGGCCACATCCCTGAGGACTCACAAGTTGGGGTTTGGGATTTTATAAACTTTTAACTGGTAATTCTAGTCTTCCTACCTACCTGCCTACTACATAGAAGCAATGGAATAATTACTAACAAAAAACGAGTATTATTACCACTACTACCGCTGCTGCTTTGACGCATACTACTTATACTTATGGTTGTCAGTAGCAGATATCCGACACTACCGTTACTAACGTGACTAGAAGTAGGGGTAAAATGTCAGAAACGAATAAAATGAATTCCGATGATGGATTTTCTGAGAATTTGGATTAATTTCGGTGTAGATTTCGTCATAAACCGAGACATTGGTTAGAGAATCATTGAAAACCAGAGAAGGAAAGTACGGTTGTTTCGTCCTAGTTTGGAACTCTTCGACAGTGCACTGATCTATGACCCTCCACGCCAGGGATCGAACCCAGGACTTTCAGGTAACGAAGCCACCTCGTCGAGCACTCAGCCACTTTGTCAGAACACATTCGTCCGTCATCTATTCAGACACCAAAACACTGGTTACCCACGTGTCATCAACAGACACTGAATATTTCGATCCAGCAAAAAAGTCAATCTGCAAGAAATACGAAATAACTTAAAGTGATACTCCATTGAGAAATGAGTAGTTTCTCGTGGCCTAGTGGATAGTGTTTCGAGGATTCAAACGATCAGGTATGCTGGGTTCAAGTCTACTCAATGGGAATACAATCACAGTCACTTGATATGCTGAAAAAGACTCAATGGGAAGAAATATCCATGTTGGATACCACGACTAACTACCATCAACCAGATAACATCATTTCTAACATTGTATTAATTAGCTATATACTGTTTTTTTCATTCCTTAACGTTCCCAGTGGAACATAGGGCTTCAAGCTAGAGGCTTGGAGTTTCTGCAGCAGTGTTTATTTTTACAGGATGGGATTGTTAGCCTCATGCCCAACCTTTCCTCTTTACCAGCTTTTTTTATTACTGACTTAGCGAGGTAAAGGAGTGCGTCGGTGGCCGGGGATTGAACCCCGGGCCATGTTCATGGTCGGTGAGCGTTCTAACCACTGTGTCACCGATGCACTTGTACACTGGTATTCGTTAACAATGGTATCCTTGACGCGCCTCTCCACCTATCTGTAACTCGTCAACTGGATGTACCTGGTTATGGTATTCACACACTGACATTTGAGTCAAACACCCACCCACCCCTTCAAACGCCAAAGCGTTATCCACTGGGCTACTTAATCAACCCCTTGTGGAATCGATATTATTAGAAATTATCTGTATCTTTTTTTTGACTGAACACTAGTCAGTAACTAGTGTAATGTGTCTAGTCCTATCTTCGCTGCTGACTGAATTCTATCAGTCATGTTTGCAATGTGGCCACCATGCTAGTTGGCTCGCCATTACGGTGCACTGTGAGTTGTTGGTATTAGATGGTTCGAGGCAATCGGCCACAGGAAGCCTTGCTTGACCTAGGTTTCGTGCTAGTTGGCACTCATCAGTCAGCAAGGCGTATCTGCAACCTTGAAGGAACTGATGTCCCTTCTGAGATTCAGTCTGCACCGAAGATAGGACTAGACACATTACACTAGTTACTGACTAGTGTTCAATCAAAAATATCCAATACAGTCCTACAAGAGGTCAGTCGCGAGCCTGAATAGCTCAGTGGTAACGTCTCTGACTCACTGCAGCACTGGGTGACGCGGGTTCGAATCTCAGAAGGGACATCAGTTCCTTCAAGGTTGCAGATACGCCTTGCTGACTGATGAGTGCCAACTAGCACGAAACCTAGGTCCAAGGCTTCCTGTGGCGTCGATTGCCTCCAACCATCTAAGACCAACAATTATCTGTATCTGGAGCGCACTGACCAGCTTAATTTATTCACATATATGCATAGTTTATTGCACTGAATATTTATGTGTGTGTATACTGTTTCAGAATGAACGCAGAAGTATATAAATAAGACAAGTAGAAAAAAAATAAGCCTAGAATTAGAACGTATTACTTATACATTGTTGATACAAGCATAGATTGTGTAAAGCGTCATAACCTTCACTGGTATGGTATTCGTATGCATCATATGTATGTATATGCACACATATAATACATAAGATAGACAAGATTTCCGTTTTATCAAAAAAACACAAAGTGCTTATTTGTCAAGATGATGTGTTTGTTAGTTGGCAATTTATGACAATTTATAACTGTGATGATAATGATTATAATAACAATAATAATAATGACTGCTGGAAAAGTTTTCTGTCAACCCTAGTTTGTACACATAATAGAATAGATCGGAACTATGATCTAATTAACTTTTAATAGCGCTAACACAAACTATGCATAAACAAACACACATACATACACATGCAGGCATGAATGCATGCATGCGCATACATACACACTTGCATGGAGAACAGAACAGAAGAGAATGATGACAACAAATGTAGGCAATTTGTCATATTCCCTTCTACCTATCATGCTTTTTCTCTCTCTCTCTCTAGGCGTATGTGCGTGTGTGCGAGAGAGAGCGTTCAACATCCGGATATGTAAACATACGATCTGTCAAATTCTTGTTTGGAAAGGGAGACAAAAAAAGTACTCCAATACTCTCTGATTATTTCAACGCTTCTCTCTCTCTAACTGATGTTAGTTCATAATCTAACTTGACATCAATCAAATGCCTCAGAAGCAACACTTAGAAATTAAGTAGCCTACTGATTTTCAGTGACTGTCTACTGGATGAAGCTGATGGAATTCTAATGACATACACCAAGTCGACTGTCAGGATACATACACGTAAATGATATTGGCTAATTGTGACACTGTATATCCCGACTTGGTAAAAGTTAGAATTGGCATTTGCTTCGTCGGCTCATATGGATGCGTACGACTGAAGAGTCCCAGACAAGGACGAAACATCTGTTCAGTACTTCCTAGTTTTCAGTGGTTCTCTAACTGATGTCTGTTAGTCATCATTTTGATTGTGTCCAAGTGTCACTTTTGATCTCATATAGCGTTAAAATGCCCAGAATTTTTAAGATTCACAGATGTCAGAAAAAGAAATCCATTGAAGTTATGTTAATCTATGAAACACGCATTAATACGCATAATTTATATGGAGGAAACCCTTTTCTAAGATTCTGGGTAACACTTAAAAATATAGATTTATTCAATTAGCAACAAGTTACATGATATAATACATGTACATAAAAGAAAACTAATAATTACTTGATGGAGGCCGCTTGATTGAAGGTGAACAGTTAACTGAGGTACACGAAGTTGAACAATTAGTACCGGATAGAGGAGGAACACGAGGAGGAGCACCAGTCGTACTGTTATTATTATTATTACTATTACTATTATTATTATTATATGGATATAATTTGTTTTGAAAACCTGAAGAATTGACATGGCCAAAATGTGATGACCTGAAAATCAAAACAACAAAATTACAAAAATTCTGTCAAATGTTACATTATAGTGAAATAAACAATATTAAGAAAATATTGTGAATCCATCTCAGAATATACATGACTCAAAATATATATTTTTATTTCAGAACAAAAACCTGATTGGATTCGATTTCATTCAATAAAGAACTTCGCACAAAAGTGAAACACACAAAAGTAGACAAATGTGAGAGGAAAAGGAGATTCAAGAGATGTACAGTAAGCAGAAATGTGAAGGAAACATGGAAAAACATGATGGTCTAATGAACACAGAGTGAATGCAAAGGGGCTATTGAGAACGATTCCGCGACATATCACCAATAATAGTCTCCAGCCATTGCTTCTTAGCATCCCGAGGACTCCAGGTACGTAGTCTACACCTCCTTATCTGCCTCAAACCAACATTCAAAGACTTAATGAACTGATGACAGGTTTCCATGTGACCACCCCTAACTCATTTCCAATTGAATCCTACGTCGGTTAACATTGCTCGTTGAGGGAGGCGATGGCTCGGTATGCGCAACACATGTCCTAGGCACCTTTCAGTCTATGGTAGCTTCATAATATCACTGATTGATTTACCCATTCTTACCTAATGCTCTACATTTAACCTCGATATTACTCACTATATTACACTACTTAACACGGGAGTGTGTATTACCATCATACAGACACAAGTATAAAACACTGAACAAGAATGGAATATAATTCAGTTATCTGACGTTATAAAAGAGTAGTATACAAAGTTAAGGAGCACAGAGGTCAAGTGATATAAAACAATGCATAAACAAAAGTGAAGACTTATGAAACACGCTGAGAACTTTGATCAACAACATTTAGTCATACATCAAGTTTTCAAACACTGATTCGATTCTTAACTTCTTTATGAGACTCACTTAATCAAACAATAAAGCAACCTTGTCCATGTAAAAGACTAAATCCCTTAGGATTCTCAATCTAACTGTGTCTACAAAATAAAATAATTGCTTGGAATGTGATGTGATATACATCAAACAATCCTAGTGGAAAGTCAAAATCAGAGGAAATGAACACTGTAGAACGTCTGTTCGACCACCGCCGAGAAATCTAGTTGAACTAGAAAAGCTTCAAAAACCATCGGCCATAGGTCTACACGTCACAGAATTAGGCCACAAAATTGATTTTTAGAAATCCCAAAGAATGTCTGATATCAGAAGCACCTTATATCAAATGGAATCCAAATTGTCTAAATAGCAACGATGGACTAAAACAGAATTTGACCTAGTTACAACACACCCCATGAAATGAAAAAATCGACATGAATTTGATAAGCAATTTCACTATATAAACACATACTGTCTTTATAATTCTATACGCTTATCAAATCCAATAAACTACACATGGTTTTGTTATCTTTACCTATTGGTCAACTTGACAACGTAAAAATTACCCCCTGCTGATGAACGATGATTGAGTTGTTATGCATAAGCTGAGATTTCGTAAATTCTGGTTTAATAATACTTTGATAAAGATATTAGAGGCATTAAATAGCGAAACATCAGTAAAAACAATATCTTTTTGTTTTTCATTCATTAGAAAATACAAAAACTTTTACAATGGTGAATATTATATACCCAATGCCGAAATTTTGTCCAACTGTTAAAAGTGGACTTGGTTTGGACACATATAATCTCAAGTTCCAGTAACCGCGATCATGTTTTATCTAGACTACAACTAATCTTTCTCTATCATATTCCTAACTTAACTGAAGTAACTCGGCACGCGCAACATAGGTGACATCTACCTTTAATTAGTACAAACTCGAGCAAGACTGTGTCGATTTATTTACCTTCAGCACAAGTTAGCAATGTCACAGACATACAAGTCGTGAGGAATCCCATTCCTGCTTTCAGCCCAACAATCGTGAAGTATGATTGTCCATCTTCTGATAGGTAGGTAGGTGGTTATGATTTTAGCGATAGAAATGGAGTAAATTTAGGCAAATACTAAACAAGCCTTTTGTATTCCTATTGAGCATAATTCAGCGTGATCAGCAAAAATTTCATAATTCCTAAAAGACTCCATCTAAGGCAAAACACAAGGGTTTTAATCGTCAATCATATAACTTAAAAGTAAAATCATTGAGTTTTAGTGTGAGTGATATTTTACCTAGTTATACAATTCATCTTTTCTGCTTTTCTAACATTCTGAGGCACTTAGTTGTTTGTCGGTGGCCAGCAAAAGAATAGAATCAAGGACTGGCGTTTCGTCCCAGTTGGGACGCGTCAGTTGGAGGTGCCTGCATCCTCACCAATCCACCCACCCACCCCTAATGACTGATGGTGCTCCCGATGAGACTAGAACCCAGCAACCTGTCACTTTAAACGCCAAAGATTTATCCACTATATGACTGCCAAACAAGGAACTTCGAGTTATTATTAATCCTGGAGACATCAAAGAGTCCTCCTCATATACCAAAATGAGGTGTTTATTAATTTTCTTTTCTGACCTCTCTCTTTCACCATTTCTGTCTGATGTACTAGTGATGAGTTGTGGTGGCAAATTAGACAACTATGCAGTAATGTTTATAATCATCATAGTAGAAATAATAATAATAATGAATTATGTTAAATACACAAAAACAATTACGACATAAGAAAAAAATCATATACAGATAGACAGACAGACAGACAGGCCAACATGCACTACTGGCGATGAGTATCTGTCTTATACGGATAAATCGACACAGCCAACAAACAGTACAAAGTAGAAACGATTGAATGAATTAATAATTAGTGTGATACTCGTGTTTTATTTTTTGTAAAGCAAACCGTTTTTTTTTCATTAATGCGGAAAAGATCAAAGAGTTGGTTGGAGGGAACAACATACAGACAATAATAATATGACAGGCATAACGTATTATCAATTCAAGGCTTAATATTGGTATTTTTATTACTATATAAAACCTAACACCTGAAAAATAAATGAACGAATATAATTTATTTGTTGAGTTAATTTTTTCAAAACAAAAAAATAAATTGAAAATTAAACAGAAATTATAATGTCAACAAGAAGAATGATACTTGACAAAAAAAACCATGAAGGAGGAAATACCAACCGCTTCCACCGTTCCAGTGTGTTATTATTATTATTGATATATACCGCCAAACATGTGACAAGTTTTATGCCTTACATTCGAAGTGGAAGAAAATATTTTAAGCTTGGGAAGAGAGGGGATTTGCTAGCGTCACTTATAATCTTCCCTCTCTTCTAGGCTTGCTACTGCCAAGTGAACTAGGGGGGGGGGGGATTTAGGAGTATGTCCATCATCTGGGAATCGTACCCAGACCACCCCCATGTGGTTGGCGAGTATTCTGTTGTTGAACTGTCGATGCACAAACAATTCAATTGAGAAGAAGCGAACGACCTGGCTAAGAGCTACACTTATCGTGTGGGTAGGAGGTGAGGGTTGGTTGGTGACACTACCCAGCTGGTAAAGCGGAGCAGGACTCGAACCCATAACCTATCGGTTCAAAACCGATTTGAACAGATAAAGAAAGTTTTTTCGAAAAAATAATCACACAGTATAACAGTCTTTCCAATGTTACAAAAATATCTTCTGATTTTTCGTCTAAGCTGATACAAACAGTTCGAATCAACTCCTATACATGAATTCATCAAAATGGCTGTAAACTATCTTCCACAAGTATCCATTTATCGTTTTTACACTTTTCTTTGGAAGGCTTAAGGATTTTTTTCCCGGTAGAGTTAGCGTGGATTCCATTCAGGATGTCCACAAATTCGGATGAATGGCTTACTGTATGTATCCAACCAAGGTATTGATTGTGAGTATGCCCTGTACTCACTACCACTGTGTACAGTGATTCTTAGTCTTATTAAAACCTGAATAATAGTAATAATAATAATAGATCAGAATGAACCTGACAACTCAATTCATAAATGGCAGCCATATATATATACCTGTAGAGAGTAATTGGTCAGTGGGCTGCAACTAGTGTTGAGTGCCTAGTCCCTTAGCGTTGGTTCTGACTAGATTCTATGCAATGTGATCACCAAAGATAGAAGAATCTTTAAGTTGTTATTGGTAGTCGTAAAAAGTAATCGGTAAGGAGCCGTCGACCTAGACCTCGTGCTTATTACTGGTCGTCAGCAAGGAATTCGAACCGGCGTCACCAAGTGCTCCACCTAAAGATGTTACCTTTGAGTTATTCTGTAACATTACCTTATTGAAGCACCAGGTTATGAGATTTCGGATCATTGAGGGGACATCAATTCCTTCGAAATTGCAGTTTCAATGTTGACGAGGAGTGCCACTAATCACAAGACTTAGGTGAATGATTTCTTGACAACTGCCTTCAATCGTCTAATAATCACTGCAGAGATGCATAATATTAGACTATGAGATCAGGCGGTTGAGTATGAAGTAACACTCATAGCAGTTATTAAAAAAAAACTCTGCAGAGAATTTCTAAGGTAATCTTTGATCTATTAGCTACTTTATTTACACTTATGCAAAGATAAAAATAGATTGGATACATGCTGCTGAAAATCGCCATTTTTAATTTTTTTTTTCCGATTCAAATGTTGACGGTTGATTAATGCAGCAAACCAGTGAATCAAATTGAATTAAATTTTGATCTTTTTTATGGTATACAAGTACTGAATTATTGATTAGAAAAGTGATATATTATTCACACACTGTTAATTAACATGAACAGTATTCGATAAGGTGGGGGGGGGGAAGCTGTAAGGTCAGAGTAATTTCAAAATGTACCAAAGAAGCTAATATGATGTCATCCATGAAATTAAATTATACATCCTAATAGCGACAGCACTAGGCGACGCGGGTTCGAATCTCATAAGCGACATGAATTTCCTTAAGATTGCACTTAAGTTTTGCCGACGGGTGGGAACAAGCAAGAAACCTAGGTCCAAAGTGTCCTTCCAATCGCCTCTAACCATCTAATATTATTTCAGAG